AAATCAGCGAAGGGAATAATTAGAAGAAATTGGTTAGCCAATTTGATTATTGAGTAGGAGGATGGGGTGAAGGAACCTTCTCCCTATGAGGAACGGGTGAAGGAACGGTGCCCAACCGCTTCCATGGACCATCGGGGATCGAATGCTAACTGACAAGAGGCTACAGGCCGTCGCTGTCAACCAACTCATGAGGCTGGGCATCGCTCCTTTCATGTACGATGAAATTAAAGAAAATCTGTCATTCCACCGCGGGTCCAGTGTTGTTGAGAGGCCACAGCTGTCATGGAGCGTCCACGTCACTCACCCACTCTCGCACATGTGTTCTCACACACTCCTATGTTCACACACACGCGCACACACACACACACACATTACGTTATTACTTCCGTAATAACAGAACACCAGAAAGTAGAGAGAGATACCAGAGAACCAGGAACGAGTATGTTAGTGTGAGAAGAGCAGCTGAGAAAAGGTATGAAAATGATATAGCTAATAAAGCCAAGACCGAACCAAAGCTACTACACAGTCACATCAGGAGGAAGACAACAGTGAAGGAACAGGTGATGAAACTTAGGGTGGGCGAGGACAGGTACACAAAGAATGACAAAGAGGTGTGTGAAGAACTCAACAAAAGGTTCCAGGAGGTCTTTACAATAGAACGGGGAGAAGTCACGGTGCTAGGAGAGGTGGCAGCAAACCAGGTGACCATGGCAAGGTTCGAAATTACAAGAGATGAGGTCAAGAAGCACCTATTGGAGCTGGATGTGAGAAAAGCTGTTGGGCCGGATGGAATCTCACCATGGGTATTGAAAGAGTGTGCAGGAGCACTTAGCTTGCCACTCTCCATAGTGTATAGTAGGTCACTGGAAACGGGAGACCTACCAGAAGTATGGAAGACTGCTAATGTAGTACCAATATTTAAAAAGGGTGACAGACAAGAGGCACTGAACTACAGGCCAGTGTCCTTAACTTGTATACCATGCAAGGTGATGGAGAAGATTGTGAGAAAAAACCTAGTAACACATCTGGAGAGAAGAGACTTCGTGACAACCCATCAACATGGGTTCAGGGAGGGTAAATCTTGCCTTACAGGCTTGATAGAATTCTATGATCAGGTGACAAAGATTAAGCAAGAAAGAGAAGGATGGGCGGACTGCATTTTTTTGGACTGTCGGAAAGCCTTTGACACAGTACCCCATAAAAGGTTGATGCATAAGCTAGAGAAACAGGCAGGAGTAACTGGTAGGGCGCTCCAGTGGATAAGGGAGTACCTAAGCAATCGAAAGCAGAGAGTTATAGTGAGGGGTGAGACCTCAGAATGGCGGGAAGTCACCAGTGGAGTCCCACAGGGCTCTGTGCTTGGACCTATCCTGTTTCTGATATACGTAAATGATCTCCCAGAGGGTATAGACTCATTCCTCTCAATGTTTGCTGACGACGCCAAAATTATGAGAAGGATTAAGACAGAGGAGGACAGCTTGAGGCTTCAAGAAGACCTGGACAAGCTGCAGGAATGGTCGAACAATTGGATGTTAGAGTTTAACCCAAGCAAATGTAATGTAATGAAGATAGGAGTAGGAAGCAGGAGACCAGATACAAGGTATCACTTGGGAGATGAAATACTTCAAGAGTCAGAGAGAGAGAAAGACCTGGGGGTTGATATCACGCCAGACCTGTCCCCTGAAGCTCATATCAAGAGGATAACATCAGCAGCATATGCCAGGTTGGCTAACATAAGAACGGCCTTTAGAAACTTGTGTAAGGAATCTTTCAGAACATTATATACCACATATGTCAGACCAATCCTGGAGTATGCGGCTCCAGCATGGAGTCCATATCTAGTCAAGCATAAGACTAAACTGGAAAAGGTTCAAAGGTTTGCCACCAGACTAGTACCCGAGCTGAGAGGTATGAGCTACGAGGAGAGACTACGGGAATTGAACCTCACTTCGTTGGAAGACAGAAGAGTTAGGGGGGACATGATCACCACATTCAAGATTCTCAAGGGAATCGACAGGGTTGATAAAGATAGGCTATTTAACACAAGGGGCACACGCACTAGGGGACACAGGTGGAAACTGAGTGCCCAAATGAGCCACAGAGATATTAGAAAGAACTTTTTTAGTGTGAGAGTGGTTGACAAATGGAATGCATTAGGAAGCAATGTGGTGGAGGCTGACTCCATACACAGTTTCAAGTGTAGATATGATAGAGCCCAATAGGCTCAGGAACCTGTACACCTGTTGATTGACGGTTGAGAGGCGGGACCAAAGAGCCAGAGCTCAACCCCCGCAAGCACAACTAGGTGAGTACAACTAGGTGAGTACACACATACACCAGTTGATTGACAGTTGAGAGGCGGGCCGAAAGAGCATAGCTCAACCCACGCAAGCACATCTAGGTGAATACAACTAGGTGAATACACACACGTGTTCACTCACACACCCCCTCCCTCCCCCCCCCCTCCTCCCCCACGCCTTCACCAAAAATAAGGGCATCAGTTTTCCGATAAGGCAAAAGTCATAAATCACACATTATCTTGCTTTGATCCTTAATTGTAATGGATGTGCGTGTGAGGAGGAGCCCTCACACCCCCTGCCTGCCTCCCGTGACGCCTGCTTACACACACACACACACACACACACACACACACACACACACACACACACACACACACACACACACACACACACACACACACACGAGGTGGGGGGCCTCGTAGCCTGGTAGATAGCGCGCAGGACTAGTAATTCTGTGGCGCGGGTTCGATTCCCGCACGAGGCAGAAACAAATGGGCAAAGTTTCTTTCACCCTAAGTGCCCCTGTTACCTAGCAGTAAATAGGTACCTGGGAGTTAGTCAGCTGTCACGGGCTGCTTCCTGGGGTGTGTGTGTGTGTGGTGTGGGAGAAAAAAAAATAGTAAACAGTTGATTGACAGTTGAGAGGCGGGCCGAAAGAGCAAAGCTCAACCCCCGCAAAAACACAACTAGTAAACACACACGCACACACCTTGATCCTGAAGAATGCTTCCCAACACCGGGCCACCACAACAGGGGCGAGCCTCTCTGTAACTCCCACGTAGAGCACAGATAATGGATATATACAAAGATTGTTCTTTACTTCAGTAAAGCTGCTTGGATTGTCATGCTTTGGTAATGGCAACAAGTCCACGTGGCTCCCCCAGTGGCTGCTGCTTTGTAAATAAATCACAATACCGCTACTCTCCCCATTACTCTTCCAGACGTAACATGCATAAGTAATCAAGCATTTATTCCTTGGGACAATGACCTCGGCTTCCAGCATTTTATATTAATTTGGGTACACAACACTGTGCTGGTACCTTATTCTATACGAGGAAATACAGAGTATAGATGGAGAGCTAGATATGAGTTTATCTCATATCCTCATCTCACAGGATGATTAGTCAGTCATATATGGAATGAGGACAAAAACACGGGATGTGAGTCTAGTAGACCAGTCTGCACTACCAAACTCTGGGTACAGCACAAGAATATCATCAAATATTGGCGAGTGTATGAAATAACAAAATATATATAAAATTTTGTCCCAAGGGGCGAGTTTATTGGGCAGCGTCACTCATCCTGTGAGTGGTCATACCGCCATAACAGCATGTACAACACTCCCCAATAGGAAGAAAACCCGCTGGGTTGTTCATTCTGTCACTTGTACCCAGACACAGATGGGACTTGCTTAATTGTCTCAAGTGAACAGCTTCTCAAACAAGAAGATTACGTTATCTTGCGGGTGCAAAATGAGGGAATCTTTTAAGAACAGTATCAATATTTGACAAATGTGTTTTCCAAACTCAAACAATGTGGGTTTATTATTCTACACATATTTCATAGGCCCCTCAGGTGTTTACATTCACGTAGATAGTGGTCAAGGGGGTGTCCGTCACTCTCATCACAGATTCTGCAACTCGCTGATCAACTGTTGTTTCCATTCCGAATCTCCATGGATATTTGTATCCAAGACGGATTCTCGCTATTACTAATTTTCTCCCGCGTCCTCCTCCTCTTCGTCTATAATGATTGGGATTGCCAGCTGCAACCATGTTGTACCATCGTATAGATTCACTGATTTGAGCTTCTATCCTCCTTTCCTCAGTTACCCTGTCACTGTGATGTTGCCTGACAATACCTCTAATTTGTAGAAGAGTCTTGGGTATGAAGTATTCAATATAGTCTTCAGCGCCTTTAGCAGCCAGCACATCTGCTCGTTCATTTCCACATATTCCAATATGGGAGGGGATCCACAGAAACTTGACGACTCTTCCCTGGTTGGTTAGAACCCTTACAGCTCTCTTAATTTTAGCGACTATCGCAAGATTTCTGCCCGATTTTTACTTAGGCTTTGCAGTATTGCTATGGAATCGGTGCAGGTCACTGCACCATTAGTGTTTCGTTCAAGGAATCTTAACGCCATAACAATGACAGTTAGCTCTGCTTGCAAAATCTACATGGAAAAGATAAAGTCAAATTGACTTTCGACAAGCCGCCGGCTTCCCGTCCTCGCCGAGGCTACTAGGGTTAATGGCCTTCAGGTAAATCAGAACATACCTCGAACACTGTTTATGTAGGACAGATGTAAATCTATGTATTTATGTATGTAGGTTAGATTAATATTAGCATTTTAAAAGCACTACAATCACCTTCTCTGGTTGATTGTTCAATAAATCACTGAACTACGTGTTTAACAAATCTCCAACCCTGTCCATGACAGAAGAAAATGTATACATGTTAGTTAGCATAGTAAATGAATGGCCACGTCTGTAGTAGAAAAAATAAACATATATCATGTGCTCTCATTGTTAAACATTCATGTTATATTCTTTTTTAAAGACATTCTCTTGGTAAACAATTCACTGTAACCTCGTATAAACTAACCCAACTATAAACGTACTAAACAGACAATACTAAACATATTTATGAATACAATTTTTGCATTTGTGTTGATATAAACAAATAATATCCCCTTAGGAATGCACCGTGGCTGGTGAGACGTGGCACCGGCGCGCGTGGTGAGGGGGTGGAAGAGGTGGCACCAGCGCGAGGGGGCACCCAGCTGGCACCCAGAGATAAACAATAACACGGGAGAGGAGCATGTCGGAGGAGACGACTCTACCCCATTTTTTCTCAGAGCTCTCTCCTCTATACCCCAACGTCACTCAAGATGGCAAAATTGACACGGTGCAATTTCTCGAGGCCTCGAAATCCTTCATCCAGATGTATGGTGAGTGAACTTAAAAAGAAGTGTAAGTGAACTATAAGATTAGTTTGAGAATTTGTGCAGCTGTCGATTAAGGGTTAGTCAAAGCTTTTTGTCCATAAATTAATTTACCTATATTGGGTTTCTTAAACGCTTTTTAACCCCCCACACTATAATTATACATCACACTTTAGCATGGGATGGGTTAGGTTGTAAAATACATCCTTGAACCGTCTTGTGTGAAGTTATAAATAAATAAATGAATTGTTATTTAGATAAAAGTACATGCATGCATATTGAATAACAAGCAGAATGTTGCATTTCTAGATTGAGCTAGTATATACTATGCCTAAAGCCACTAATATGCACAACGTTTTGGGCAAGTAACAAGTTATATCGTACCCGCGTCTATCTAGCAAGCATATTGTATTCGCCTAGTTGTGCTTGCGGGGGTTGAGCTCTGCTCTTTTGGCCCACCTCTCAACTGTCAATCAATAAACTGTTATTAACTACTATTTTTTTTCACACACACACACACACACACACACACACACACACACACACACACACACACACACACACACACACACACACACACACACACTTTTATTTCACGAAAATTCACTCGCAAACAGAGTGGTAGACGGTTGGAACAAGTTAGGTGAGAAGGTGGTGGAGGCCAAGACCGTCAGTAGTTTCGAAGCGTTATATGACAAAGAGTGCTGGGAAGACAGGACACCACGAGCGTAGCTCTTATCCTGTAACTACACTTAGGTAATTACACACACACACACACACACACACACACACACACACACACACACACACACACACACACAGAGGAAGCAGCCCATAACAGCTGTCTAACTCCCAGATCCTATTTACTGCTAGGTAACAGGGGCATCAGGGTGAAAGAAACTCTGTCCCTCTGTTTCCCCCGGCACTGAGATTGAACCCTGACCCTAGGATTACGAGTCCTAAGTGCTGTCCATTCAGCCACAGGCCCCTACCCCCATACTCGACCTGTGAGCAGTAGTGCAGAAAGATTATATAGAGCACAAAAATTCTTAAGCAGAAGGGTATGACCAAATCATGTACAGGCATTTAACACATTGTTCATTTTTTAATTATTAAAACTATATATATTTTGCTTTACACTGGACTAGGTTACGCTATGGTAGGCTCAGTTAGGTTAAGATGCGTTATGTTAGATTGGTAAGTTTTAATTCTGCAAAAATTTAATTTTTTAACTTTGTTGGTTCTCATGAACACTGTATGAATTCATAAAGTACATTATACAAATTTATTTTACACATCTGTCATGTTCTTTGCATGCATAGTATTATGAAGGATTATTATTATTATTTATTATTATTACCAGTATTATATTAATAATAATATTATTATTATTATTATTAGTTATTTTTATTATTATTGAGAAAATCTAATGGAGCAATGACGTGACTCAAACCAGCAATCATGGTATGCCCAGCCACTCACTTTACCCCTGTACCCTGACATTATCATAGTGAATTTTTTTTTTTTTGCAGATCTACTTGGGACGACATTTTATATTGTGAAAAAGGATATGTCAGGCAACATAGAGGTACTGTATGTGAAACTTGTATTGTAGATTCTTGGACTGTATTTTGATATAAGGTAATTTGTAACTATTGTCCAATACAGTACTATCAAATACTATTAGTATAAATTATAGTAATAATTAATGTTTTTTTTATTTTGAGATTTGTTTTAAATGGAATAGGTGTGCCTATTTCACCTTTCATTTAACTGGAAATTGAGTATGAAGTGTTTTATTAATTGAGATGAAGATTTTAGCTAGTGTTACTATACAATACAGTATAAGATTTTGCTTGGCAAATGGTAATTTCATCACAGTTTTAGCAGTATTTAAGCTTACATTCTCTTACTCAAGTGCTGATTAAAAATAATTTTGCAACATATTTTGGGGGATTTAATTTTGATGTGGTTCATTTGTTTTCAGTTTTCCAGGTCTGAAATTTATAATCTCTGATGCATTGACATTTCAGAAGCTTTATAAGACATACAACAAGGCCCCAGAGAAGTATAAGTATCTCAATGATCTCATTTTTGAAGAGCGAAATGACCCTAACATATTTGCAGTAGATGCTCTGCTTTGGCTCAAAAGGTAATACATTATTTTGTTCTTCTTTACATTATAAGGTACTGTACAGTTCTGTACTGTGAATGACTTCTGTAGAATAAGTTCTGTACTACACATAGCAACAGCTCAAGAGATTCGTCAAGCAAATTTTGCCACAGAGTTATGGTTCGGTTATTATAGAGAAATTTGCTGGAGAGATAGATGAATGAGGAAAATATAATGAGATGGTTTGAGCATTTTTAGTGTATGATGATGGAAAACTGGTGAAGAATGTAGTGTATTCAAGTGGATTTGAAGATAGTAGGAGACAAGAAAGAATGGTAAGAAGGACATGGTATGTGTGTGAGGAAGCATGAAGTGAGTGTGGACATCACTTAGGATATAGCATGGACATGGCTGGGTGGAAGCAATGTGTAATAAGGGAGTAAATGTATTTACTATACAGTGGAACCTCGAGTGACGAGCGACTCCAGTTACAAGCATTTAGAGTAACGAGAAATTCACTCGCAGAAAATTTGTCTTGACTGATGAGCTTTTGCTCGATTAACAAGCGTTCCTGCTGGTTCTCGGACACCTCCAACGACAGTGTTATTGCTGTTTCGCAAGACGGGTTTTCCACATGACGAGCTCGGTGCCGGAACAGATTAAATTCATTAATCGAGGCGCCACTGTATATATATACTGTCTCCACTCGATCATCCGGACTATATGGGAAGGACCCCCAGCCGGATTATCACATTTTTCGGATAATGGTACTTTTTCACCTACGAGTCCAAAAGTGACAATTTCCAACTACTTTTATACCACAAAACAACATAATTTGAATTGCCTTGCCACATATAATTATTAAATATTCAACTAGAAAACTCAACTTACCTTGATGGTGTTCATCTTCTTGATTGATGCCACACATCTTGAAGTTAAGAATTCTTAACAATTTACGTAACCTATGCTAACACAACACTAAAATTAACACTTAAAATTACTGTACAGTTCATTAAGCAAAGTTAGTTTTGACTGCCAGCTGCTGAAGCCTCACTGGTTGAAGGCATTTGGGTTGCCTGTGAGGCCTTGCTTGTTGAAGGCGCTTCCATGCACCTCACGTGTTGAAACGCTTGCATGCCCTCACTTGTTGAAGGCGCTTGGCTTGCCTGTGATGCCTCACTTGTTGAAGGCGCTTGCTTGCGCCTCACTTGTTGAAGGCGCTTGGCTTGCCTGTGAAGTCTCACTTGTTGAAGGCATTTGGCTTGCTTGTGACGCCTCGCTTGTTGAAGGCGCTTGCTTGCCTGTGGCGCCTCACTTGTTGAAGGCATTTGGCTGCCTGTGACGCCTCACTGGTTGAACAACACATAACTTGTCTTTAATTGCTAGGACAACCTTCTTCCTCTTAACACCTCCAGAACGATTGATGCTGCTACCAGACATATTCTTGGCCAAAAATGTTCAAAGTTACTATAAAATAAAAAAGTTATTTAAAAAAATATTTCACTAATGGAGCAGCACTGTGACGCCGCACTGGTTGAGGTGTATAACAGTAACTTGTCTTTAATTGTTAGGACAACTTTCTTCCTCTTAACACCTCCAGAACGATTGATGCTGCTACCAGACATAATCTTGGCCAAAAATGTTCAAAGTTACTATGAAAATAAAAAAGTTATTTAAAAAAATATTTCACTAATGGCGCAGCACTGTGTATAACACGAGGGACGGACGCACATGGGTTGACCAGTGTTGGACAGGTCCACTTGGGGTGGGGCAGCTATAGCACGTTACGTAGGCCGCCAGGAGGAAAATAAACTCACAATATTTTTGAAGGAAACTTCAGCCTGTGCACATTACTTTTAGGAAACTTATTTATTTGTTATTACATAATTACTAGTACTTATTTCAGTTATTTTTGGCTATGATTAAGTGTTCTAAAATTAATGGTAATTCCTGTACCCAGGTGGTCCCTTCCGACGCACCCCTCCCACCCTCCCAAAACCACCCACCCACCCCACCCCCTCCTCCACCATGCGTCTAGAGCCACAGACGGGATTAATACGGTATGGCCGAACATTCATCCGGCCAAACCAGCTTTTATCCGGTTCCTGTGGCCATTTTGGCCGGATATTGTGATAACTTTATCCGATCACGATTTTGGCCGTATAAGGGCGTTTTCCGGATGTTTGAATCCCGGATAATCGCGGGGTTACAGTACTGAACTGTATAATGTATATGACAATTTATGATAAGCACTTTACACCTGGTCCTGGGGAGGAGTGGGATACTGTTGTGGAGTAGTAGTGCTTATTTATCTGTGATGCAGTCCATTGTATTGTGAATGATATAGATGTACTGTAATGAATGAAAGTTATAATTTTATTGTTTTATTATGTATAATGTCTATAGTCTTCTTTTATTGTATTACTTATCTCTTTTTCCTGGGGAATGGGGAAAGTGCTGATAATCAAAATAGAAATCCTAACTGTGGTTATTGTTCTTGTATATAAGAGCCCGTGGAGGTCAATGCACCCTAGAACCAGCTGAGGTCATCGTACCTATCGAATTAGCTGAAGTCACCACACCTAGACCCCATGGGGATCACCACACCATACCCCATGGTGGTCACAGCATTTAGAGCCAGCTGAAGGTCCCCAGATAGAAATTCTCAGCAGTTTTAAGACCAACAAAGGAAAATAGAATATAGCTTGGAAAACCCTCACAAACCCAGCCCCAAACATCATCCTACTTGGTGACTTCAATTTATGACATTTAAAATGGAAGAATGTGGCAAATACAGTTTATATCGGAGAGTGTCCCAGGAAGCAGTCTAAATGAACAGTCACACAAATGACGTCTTGCAAATGTGTGACAGATTTGCCTTATATTGTACCAACAAATAATAGAAGCAACTTGAAAAGAAAACATCTTAGAATTTATTTTTACAATAATAACTAGTTAGGAATATAATGATTACAAATACATCTTACCCAGATCACAACTCAATCGAAATTCAGACAAACATGGGCAGTAGACTTGTTCGGCCAATCTTAAATCCAAGAGCAGGAGATTCAACAAATTTAGTTTTAATAATAAACTGATTAACTGGGAACTCATAACCCAAGACCTCACAGAAATAAGCTGTGAAGAACATCTCGATAATACAATCCTAAATCAGTGCCTTGAGGAAATAGACACTTGAGCATTAGAAAAATGCTCAAATCACATACAGTACCATTAAGAAAAAGAGAGAAAACATGCAAATTGGAGTCAGAACAGCATTCCCTCTGTAGCCAAAGAAAACATATATAGCAGAACAGCTCAAACATCTCACCTTTTCCCAAGAATGACAAGGAAGGCTACCTTATGATGATTTAAAGAAATAGAAACGATTTATTACGATCTAAGTTGAAACTACAAGAATCATATAAAATCCAGGACAAGGAGAGTAAAAGGCTATCAGTGAAATTGAGCGGAACCCAAAAACACTTTTTCTCCAATGCAAAATCTAGGTCAAAAACTATATCTCGCATTGGGCCCCTTGCATAAGGGTGATAGAACTGACACTGATGACAACAAAAAAATTATTGAAATACTGAGGATACAGTATGCTTCTGTTTTCAGTGAACCACTGAACACACTGAAATTCTTTAGACTAAACAAATTCTTCATGAATGTGATACCAACATCAAATCATATATCAGATGTCGTCCTAGCCCTACTGGACTTTGAAGTAGCCATAGACAGCATGCCCATGCACTTTGCACCAGGACTAGATTCCTGGAATTCTATATTCATCAAGAATTGCAAAAAGCCACTATCACAGAGCCTACATACTGGCATTATCCCTGACATACTTAAAACAGAGTGACTTTGTGCCACTCCAAAAAGAAGGCAATAAAGCAGGTGCAAACAATTATAAACTGATAGCATTAACATCACATGCCATAAAGTTCTTTGAAAGACAGCTCAAAAGTAAGATCACAAAACACGTGTAATCAGAGCTTCTACATAACCCTGAACAACCTGGCTTCAGAACATGGTACTCCTGTCTCTCACAATTGCTAGACCACTATGATATGGCCTTAGATGCCATGGAAAACAAGCAAAATGCTGATGTAATATACCGTACACAGACCACAGATGATACTTCTTAAGACATTAGTGCCCTCATGAGTGCCCAAGTAGGATAGCACTATTTCAGGGGTCCGTCTAATTACCACAAGCTACCACAAGCTACACAAGCTTCACAAAGCTTCCTGGCAATACGTTAGTAATGAATAAATATGATATGTTAGGTTAGGCTGACCTAACCTGACCTAACCTAACCTAACCTAACCTAACCTAACTTAACTTAACCTAACCTAACCGACGCTTGGATTGTCGACTTGATTTGGCGTCACCAGCTCTTTATTTTCGTCTAATTTCATTATAAAAAGATACTTTTTCAGATTAAAATTATGTTTTTTCATGTTGTACATTCATCACCAACATTATAATGAGTAAATATATCATATTTATTCATTACTAACGCATTGCCAAGAAGCTTTGTGGAGCTTGTGTAGCTTGTGGTAATTAGACGGACCATATATCAGTGGTATACCTTCAGGAAGCCTCCGGGGCTCAGCCAGAAATTGGCATTTCATTACACACAGAGATCACACTAACGTGATGCATCAAATGAACAAAGCTCAGTCGATTAAGGTGTAGCTCAGTCGATTAAGGCAGTGTCTGGGATGCTCCCGGACGCAGGTTCGAATCCTTGTCACGGCCCTTGTGGATTTGTGACATTTCATTACATTCAACGCTGGTTTTTTGCCACTATGTGCACACCAGATTCAGGCCCTGGAGTTTGGTAGGCCCATGCAAGTCCATAGGCCTGGTAATTTTGTGAATATCTGTGGTACCAGTGTCATCATAGTTGCATATTTATGTAAAAATTGCAGATACTATATTTCTTTAGTAATTATCTACTATAGATAAAAATTGCAATGTATCATAGATTTTGTCTTCATCCACAGAGCCTTGGAATTCACAGTGCTGTTCATAAACGGAATCTGTGAGGAGGAAGACAAGGGCATGCGGTCAGAGAAACTTGATCACCTGGCCACTGAGGCATACAATCAAACCCTGAAACATTTCCACAAGTGGCTAGTACAAAATTTGTTCAAGGTAAATAGTTATTATTTGCACTTGTTAATGAGTACAAAATTTACTTTTATTCATTATTTGCATGCTTGTGTTAATATGTACAAAATTTATATTTATTCATTACTTGCATGCTTGTCCCTTTTCTAGATCATATTGCTTTATTCAGTATAAATTTGTTAAATTTTTTATTATATTTTTATATGGTTTATTATATTGTTATATGGTTTTTTGTCTTCCCAAGCGGGTCAGACACCTGTTGACCATTGGTTTATATTAAAAAAATAGTGATTTGAAACTTAGGCTCAGTTGACCCTAGTTGTCCATCGAGGTGCTATTGTGAGGTTTGCTTGACTCATAGTTTAGCAGGTCTTCCCAATTCACTTCACTTCATAGGTTAAGGGACATAATCAGTCTCATCTTAATTTGGTTAGAGGCTCCTTAGGGGTTAGGCCTCTCAAATACAGAGTTAGTAGTGATGCCACAGTCAAGGTTGTTGTGCTCAATTTATGGACCCCAATGAACATAAATTTTGCCTTGGGTATTCTGGATGCAGAAGTTCATTTACCCATGTGAAAATCTATATTAAATGGGTCTTCATTCTCTTTAACCCCTTCATCTCATTGGGTAGTTTGTGAGGCTGCATTAAATCAGCAAATACACTGCCATAAGTACGTGCAGTGATTACAAGTCTTTAAGTGACGTTTGAGTGGAGTCTAGGTGTAGCTGGAGTCCCTGGTTAGGTCATTTGACACCTAACCAGGTAATGGTCTATGTTAACTTATAAGAATATACCTTGTGACACTATGGTCATATTGGACACACGACACCTCATGAGACATTTCACTGCACAGTATACCATTTTCTGGTATAACTTTGTAACTAACTTGTCAAAACATTATCAGATAGGAAAAATTGCCCTTGTTAACATCCACAAGGAAAAGATTGCAGTAACAGAGGCACACAGCTCAGGTGTGGGATGGGCCACCCCCCCATCTGACACACTCTAGATGGGAGAGTGCCATCTGGAGAGTGACTCTTCATTGCCAGACTTTAGAAGATCTTTATAGTTTACTTCATTTCAGCACAACAGTGGTAGTGTTTTCACAGATAAGTCAGATCAGTGTGCACTTAGGTCCATCCTCCTGCATCACAAGCTGGATCTTTAAAGCCAGTACCACTGAATTCATAGTATGTGTGTTGATATGTACAAGAAGTATCCTCCACCAGCCTTTCTTCTTTAGTTGATTGCATTACATTCTCCAATGTCACCCTGCCCCAAGTACATGGCAAGATCATTTGCAAAGTTCCTTGTCACATTGGGGCTGAAAGTAGCCTAGAAGCTGGCATGCATAGCAGTATCTTGAGTGAACCTTGGGTGTTGGTTTGGAAAGCAACTAAGGGAGCCTTGTTCAGAATTTGAAATTTTTCTTCAGTCATGATTCTAGTCTGCTTCAAATTAAGTATAATGTTGTTCTCAGATTTTGGCCATACTATAAGTATATTACTCTTTAGCAGATTGTGTGCATTCAAAAATAATCATATTGTGGCTAATTGGCTTGGAGTCAGCAAATCTTTGAATCCATAGTATTTATGTAAAGTCCACAACTTGCAAAACCTTACTCTACAGTCGTACATTAATAAAAAATATATATATACTTCAATGAAATATCTATAGTTTCCTATTAGATATTCAAGTCAATTTTATATGGTTCACTTTTGTAAGAGATGTAATGGAATATATCTTCACATAAAACTGAGAGTTGACTGCATGCGGACAGCTTAAGATGACAAGATTCAGGAAAACAATTGTGACAATGAGAAAACAGAGCATAAAATTGTGTACAGTTTGATTTCAACAAAATTATTGTTGGCAAATATTAAATTAGAAAATGCAGGAAATATTGAAGAGAAAGTGATTAATGAATGTAGCATATGAATAATGAATGGCTGTAGCACCCGAATAATGAATGGCTGTAGCACCCGAATAATGAATGGCTGTAGCACCCGAATAATGAATGGCTGTAGCACCCGAATAATGAATGGCTGTAGCACCCGAATAATGAATGGCTGTAGCACCCGAATAATGAATGGCTGTAGCACCCGAATAATGAATGGCTGTAGCACCCGAATAATGAATGGCTGTAGCACCCGAATAATGAATGGCTGTAGCACCCGAATAATGAATGGCTGTAGCACCCGAATAATGAATGGCTGTAGCACCCGAATAATGAATGGCTGTAGCACCCGAATAATGAATGGCTGTAGCACCCGAATAATGAATGGCTGTAGCACCCGAATAATGAATGGCTGTAGCACCCGAATAATGAATGGCTGTAGCACCCGAATAATGAATGGCTGTAGTATCCGAATGACAAGTGTGAAAATAAAAATGGTTTTAAGTATTGTTTACCCAATACTTTCTTTATAAATTTGTACTGATAACGTATATTTATTGCAGATGGTGGTAAAATCAGTCCCATATAGATCAGACCTGGTTAAATCTATGTACTTTGGGAAAACTGGCTCAGAGAAAACACTCTATAAGGACCTTCTTGCTTATATTAAACAATTGGAAACCAATTTAAAAGTAATAGTACAAATGTATGATGAATGGGGCCTTGATAGTGACAAGAAGGTATAATTATGGATGACCCAAGACGTATGTAAATATATTATGCCTTGGGAACATCAGTTTTGGATACTCTTTAATTTTTTGTGTGCATCTACACACACACACACAAGTATACATATGTACACACAAATGAACCTGCCAAGGTTGACCTGAAAGTCACTCAGAGAAAATCAGATGCTCTAGAGATAGACATTAAAAGTACAGTACCTCTAGGAGCCAGCGATTACTGTGTCCTGATGCTCGACTAATTATTGGAATAGTTCAGAATACTTTACTTCATATATGTAAGTTCAGCTTTAGAGTGCAGTGCTAGTGTGGAGCCACATTTTTAGATCACAAAAGCTTGGAAATGTTCAGGGTATACCACAAAGGTTTTCGCATAAATATATCACATAAGCTTCGGTGTAAGCCTAGTATTTTACAGCAAAATTTTGTCCAAGAATTATAAGTGTTGAACTTTGGGCAAGAGAGTTAAATTTCTCATTGTAGTAAAGACTCGGGTTTTGTGTTCAATCACGTGTGGACAAAGATGAACTGTTCACAGGGGTCGGACCAGGATGATGGGGAACACATGAAAACTGAAGAGGTCAAGGGTCCAAAGTTATGCAAAAAAAGTCTTCAGTGGAAGGGGAGAGTAAAATACATTTGGAGAGGAAGTAATGTAGGGGAAAACCTCATACACAAATTCAAATGTTAATATGCCAAAGCTCATAGGATTTGAGAGTCATCCCCAAGTTCATTCAGGGTTACGAGGCAGCTTATGCCTTTCGAACTCACATATGGGAAAACAAACAAACACACACACACACACACACTCTGGTTTATTTCTGTAAAGAAAAAATGTTTATGACCAATTTAATTTTGTTAATTTCTGTACATGCTGTACATAAGAGTATCACATTAATAAGTCCTCATTATTGATGAGTGCATAATATTTTTGTTATAATCAATTATTATATTTTCCAGTATTCCTGCGCACTTAATTACAGTTCATTAAGTGTTGTGAAAAATGTTTCTAATTACTATTAATGTGATCTTTTGTGTACAAAATTTTATCTAAATATTTTATCTTTAAAATCTACTACTGAGATACCCATATAAATTCACAATTTATTTGATAATAATAATTAATAAAAATAAAAATAATGATATTTATTTAGAAGAGTGTGCGTACAAAGAACATAAAAGGAAGGGACAATTGTAGACATAGGTGTTGCACAAACTAATGAAGCCACTGTTCCGCAAAGCCTGACTCCGTCACAAGGCTGACTAAATATACAGTATATGCTAGGGATTTTCTCATCTCTGCAGTAAATATATATTGAGTGGTGACTACACATTCGAGACACATGCAGCAGTTGTACCATGCACTTGGAAAATTTCCCTCTATCATATTTACATATTGCAGTACACATATTGAAAAGATTGCATGACAAAATATTTCTAGCAGTGAGGCAGTAGCTTACTGAGGCATTATATGCAAATCAAAACTTTGCATAGTGCAAATACCTCATGAAAATTATACATTTTGTAATAACTTTTATTTATACCATAAATATTTAGTAACACAGTACATGTCCATGAATATAGTACAGTATATTGTTGTTGTTGTTGTTGTTATAAATTCAGCTACTAGGAACAAAAGTTCCAAGTAGCATGGCCTATGGTGAGCCCATAGTGGACTTGCACACACATACAGTATGGTACTGTACTTTCATTAGATAATAATCTGTGGTGTATAGTAGTGGTTAACACATTCACCCACTCGACTTGTAAACGAAAATGCCCCAGATCCAAATTCTGGTCAGGGTGGGATGACTGGGCACTGTTCCTTCAATGTTTGCTCTTGTGCACTCACAAGTAATTAGGGATATATCCGTATGTAAGAAAATATTGCTGATCATATTTGGTGGAAAATAGAGCGCTCAATAATGTAACCAGTACTAAGATCTATGCACCAGTAAAAAAAATTAGCACACTAATAGATTATGATTACAATAGTGTGTGGCGCTAGAAGTGGAGCTGATCTCTGTAGAAATTTAAATTTGTTACTGGCTCTACCATATTTATCTATTGAATAGGGATGAGATTTCACACAATGAAAATGATGAAACACTAGATAACTGATCCAAGGGAACAGAATAACTAAATGGCTAGGGTATGGGGGGAACCAATCTCATTGTCCGCTTAGCCAGCAAGGAGTGAGAGAGCAACCTTCTAGATACAATACCAGAAAATGAAAATAAACATTCATGAATATACAGTACTTATGATTTATATATACAGTAGTGTACTTTCAAAACTATTGTAAACAATGATTTAGTAAGAAGTAACTAGGAATTGAAAAATATGAAGACCTTTTAATAATTAAATTTTATTATACATTCTAAGAATTAGCTTGTGGGAGGATAGGTTATTTTCTGTATTGCAGAAAGGCATAACCTTTTTTAGTGTATTGTAGGAGATTAATCAAGAAGGGTAAAGTGAGTGTTCAAATACTACCAATTACATATTACTGGTAATATAATTTCAGACATTTAGCTGTTAATTTATTTTATTTTTGATAAACTTTTGTTATTAAAACAAAGTTCAGTGTGATAGTTTGGTATGTCTTACTCTTGGCATGTGAAGGCACTCACAAATGTTTCAACAAACATGTGAGGTCTTGCTGCAGTCTTTAACACTTGAATGAGCTTTGGAAGATTGTGTGCTCAGTGCATTTGATAGGGGAAGTAACTTACAGTATATGAATGATCCTCATTTGATATGGGGACAGTTTACATGAACAAGTCACCTTTGATATGGGAAATAGTTACTATTTCATAAAGGAAGCAGCTGATTTAATGTGACAGTGTTACATTACATTCAAAGTTTTTCTTGAGATTACATTAGTATCAGACTAGTTTGCATGATGACTGGGAGCAACTGTTACCTGCTCTTGCTCCATAATAGACCTGTGTGCAAACTCTGGTTATACAAGTTTGATACTGTGGATAAAGCAGTGCCATGACAGTACCCAATCATGACTACTTCACCAAGGTAGGAGAAACAATTTTGTTATTACTGTATATAATATTAATATTTATATCTGGTAGGGTCACCTCAATTGCTCTCCAAGTTCAGGACTGGTCTGGCCAAGCCTTAAAATGATGCACCAGACTTCTGAAACCAGCCCCTGCCCACTGAGAGCCAAGAGCAGAATCTGACTTTACTCTTTATGAGGTGAGAGTAGCTTGAGGATCAGAGATGAACCTTAAACTAGGAACAAAAATAAAAATGGGACAGTATAACTGCAATCACACAAGCAACAGCTTGAAGAAAATTTGGTTCCCACAAATAATGAACTAAATGACTGCTTCTTTGGTGTGAACAACTTGACTAATATGCACCTGACCATGTAATAGTCCAGGTCACCTGAGGTCCCGAGCCTGCCCCTTTGCTCGCTTACTTGATCACAGCATTAGGAGCATGCTTAACTCTTCAACTGTGCATATCAACCAGAGTGGTTTGATCTGTGGTGGTCATGTGTACCCGGGTCGTTTGATCGGCAGTGCACATGCCAATCAGGGTAGTATTTAGGTCCAGAGTAAGTTTTGAAGCTCTCATGGGTACATAGGGCTCACATCTGCTTGCTCAGACCTCTAGTGAACAGATGCCATCTTGAAAGAAAAAAGTGGTACCCCCTCCAAGGCATAAGGGTCTTGGTACTAATATAGCAAACATGAGTTTGCTATAGTCTTTAATTAAAGAGTTTCAAATAAAGATATGATAGAGCCCAATAGGTTCGGGTATTGGTGATTATTGTGCAAGCTATATATACTGTATAATATCCATAAGAAGATAAATCGATCTAATGTTTCAGTAAGGGAAGTCAGATTGAGGAAGTGGGGGGGGGGAGGAAGGATTGCTCACCTAGTTGTACTAACCTAGTTGTTCTTGTGGGGGTTGAGCTTTGGCTCTTTGGTCCCACGTCTCGACCATCAATCAACTGGTGTACAGATTCCCGAACCTATTGGGCTCTTATCACATCTACATTTGAAACTCTGTATGGAGTCTGCCTCCACCACATCACTACCTAGTGCATTCCATTTGTTAACTGCACTGACACTAAAAAAAGTTCTTTCTAATGTCTCTATGGCTTATCTTGGTACTCGGTTTTCCCTGTGTCCCCTTGTGCATGTACCACCTGTGTTAAATAAACTTATCTTATAAACTTAAACTTATAAATTGACAGAATATTATCTATTCTGTCAATTCCTCTGTGATTCTTGTATGTGGTGATCATGTCTCTCCTAAGTCTGCTTTCTTCCAGTGACATGAGGTTCAGTTCGCTTAGTCTCTCCTCATAGCTCATACCCCTAAACTTTGGGGAGGTGACTTGACCTTACACAAGCCCGCAGCATGCTGCAGACACTCCTTCTCTGAGTTGCCAGTTGAAGCATATATTGTACAAAAAAATCTAATTCTAAAGAAAATATTCCTTGTGATCTTGTTACTAGCAGTAGGAAAAGGGAGTGTTTATGTAATTCGTAGTAGGGTAAGTATAACTGCTCTTAGTGTAAGCAAGGCCCAATGCCGGTATGAGTAGTGCTATGCACGATTCACCATATCCACCTGGCAGTCTTTGGAAAGCAGTACTGTCTGTGATACTATATTGACTGCCTACCATTTCTGTCTCCACCCCCACTCTTCAACTCTCCACCCCTCTCCTCATCTATCCACTCCCACTTCACAAATTTCTGCTCCTCCTCAACTCTCCACCCCATCACTAAAACTCTCTGCCCCTCTCTCCAGAACTCTCTGCCCTTTGTTTTTCCTCCTTAAGGAAGGAAAGAAGGGGGAAGGCCCTCTTTCCTTCCTTAAGGAGGGGAAACAAAGGGGAGATGCATCTTGTATGGTGACCCTTGATAACGACCTGAGGTCAACAAATCCCTTCCCCTTTGCTCATGCTTCAAGAACTGCTTACACAACACTTTAAGTACTAACCTTCAAATATAGGTGATAGTTTTCTCCCCTAAAATATCAGTCACAACTTGAAAAGACATGTGCTATACACAATTCAGCATATATAGTGTTACAACCCTGTTCTGTTCTTTTGCTGTGAAAATAAAGGTATTTGATTTGGGTGGCTCGAGAACTAAGGGGCAGGCTGGCCGAGACCCCAGGTGATGTGGGCTACCACCTGGTGACGGGTAATTGCATAATGGTTAGGATGTTTATACTGCAGCAACAATAATTTGCCTCATTACCCTTGGGTACCTAATTTTCTTCAAGCAGTTGCGTGTGTTGCTCTTATACTTTCTAGTGAGTTTATAATCAGTTTTGGGTTAATCTCTTGGTCCCTTGTTTCCTTTGCCTTGTGGAGAAAAGTCAGATTCTGGTTCTGGCTCCCAGTCAGCAAGGGTGGGCCTCAGAGGTCTGGAACATCTTCCTAAGAAATGGCACGAAAAGAACTTAGCTCAAGTAGCTAATGATGGGCCCACTAGATAAGGGCATTTAATTGCTTCATTTGCCTATATATCCACACCCACTGAACTATAAATCCATCCTTCTGAAAATGTATTATTAAATGCAAAAGTACTTATCGCCAATAATGTAAAGGGCTATTTTATTAAAAATTAGTTAAATTTTATGACGTTAATTTTTGCATGTTTGGGTAAGTGAGCAAGTGTCATATTTACAAAGTGTTCATAAAGCTAATGTTAGAATTAATGATACATGGTAAAAGTTAATTATCCAGGAAGTCAGTCTGTGTATTGTGTTCAGGGGTTTGGTTTACCATGTGATATGAGTTGTGATTATCTATGATATGCCACACTAGCTCTTCTAGACAGAGTGCATGTGGCAATTATAGTTTCCATGCAATATTGTAGTTTAATTAAATATATAATTTCAAAATAGTTTGCAAGTTGGCCTTTTTTATTGTGTGCATTAGAAGCCAACCTAATAATGTAAGTATGATTAGGTAAATCTTTTGTTACTGGTATTATGTTTGCAATTTATGAAGATTGATTATACTTTAACCTGTCGATGAGATCATCGCCATTAAAAGGTTTGCTGCAGTGCTATAGTATTTTCATGCAAAAATTTGTTTTTATTTTTTAGGTCAAATTAAACCAAATTTAACCTAATTAAGTCAGGTTTATAAAGTTACATTAATAGTGTCCAGTAGTTCTGAAAACAAAATAGTTACCTGTGAAAAAAATACTTGGCCGTAAAATCAATGACTGGTTCTCGTGTACACTTCAATTGATATATATATACAGTCCTCTAATGTTCTGTATTGAGAAGCATGATTATGAATATAAATTCGTAATATATTAAATAATTTGTTGTGTCAGTTTGAATGTACAGTATATTTTTTCTGGGAACTTTATAATGTTTATAATTGGATTTTGATTATTATTTCAATTTTTTTTAGAAAACTTAATATTTGGTTTTGTTGACTTTTTTTGTAAGGGTTTTTGGTAAAAATGTTAATTGTTGTAATTGTATGACTGTTGTTTATATAATTTTAATATAAATTTAAGTTGTTTAAATCTGTTATTTCGACCTTTTGCAAATACAGTATACTAATGTAATGCATTCATTTATAATTATAGTTCTTTGTGTTGTAAAAAAATTATATTGTATTGCAAAAGTTTGGTCTTAAAGCAATATGTAACATTGCAATATAGACAATGTTTAGAGGTTTAAAGTATGTATGTGTGTATATTTGTATACTACAATATATATATATATATATATATATATATATATATATATATATATATATATATATATGTCGTACCTAGTAGCCAGAACGCACTTCTCAGCCTACTATGCAAGGCCCGATTTGCCTAATAAGCCAAGTTTTCCTGAATTAATGTATTTTCTCTAATTTTTTTCTTATGAAATGATAAAGCTACCCATTTCATTATGTATGAGGTCAATTTTTTTTTTTTGGAGTTAAAATTAACGTAGATATATGACCGAACCTAACCAACCCTACCTAACCTAACCTAATCTATCTATATAGGTTAGGTTAGGTTAGGTAGCCGAAAAAGTTAGGTTAGGTTAGGTAGGTTAGGTCGTCGAAAACACATTAATTCATGAAAACGTGGCTTATTAGGCAAATCGGGCCTTGCATAGTAGGCTGAGAAGTGCATTCTGGCTACTAGGTACGACATATATATATATACATATATATATATATATATATATATATATATATATATATATATATATATATATATATATATATATATATATATATATATATATATATATATATATATATATATATATATATATATATATATATATATATATATATATATATATATATATATATATATATATATATATATATATATATATATATATATATATATATATATATATATATATATATATATATATATATATATATATATATATATATATATATATATATATATATATATATATATATATATATATATATATATATATATATATATAATGATCCACATAGTTGCAAAAAGTACTATCTAAATGGGGATGGATTGCTATGTACATATCATATTTGATGTATCAAGACATGAGTAAGCATGCAACTGTTTATATCGGACATCACATGTGATGTACAGTACTATAGCATGACCAAGTATTTTAGAGTGCACAGTACAATGGTGGCTTTCAGCCTGCATCCCTTGAGCTATTGCTAGAAACTGGAATTGATCCAGATTGGCAAGTTTCTTTCTGTTATACCGTGCTTTAGATTATTGTACACATTGGTCTAAAAGTCTCCATGCATAGGAAAAATTAACACATTTTAAAATCATTTAACTTTATAAATAGGGTCCACATAAATGTTGAAGTATTATTATTTTTATTATTATTATTGTTATTATTATTATTTAAATCCTTGGAGTAGCAGGAAAAAATATGAAACATGAATCGCCTAAAGAAATGCATTCAAAATACAATTTTGTGCATTGCACCAGATGTTTTAATGTAAGATTACCATGAGTGGAAGAGTTGGATTAATATGTATTTTCAAGTTAATGGCAACCACATGGAGCATATTTTGTGAATAAAATTACACTTTGGTGAAAGGTGTTAATTTTCTCAATGTCTAGAGACTTTTGGATCACACTTTCAATTACAATTTTATTAAAGACCATTATTTGGTCTTTAATAAAGACCAAAATTATGGTCCAACACCATATGGTGTTGAACCATAATTTGCAGATAAGTCTTGTTCATTTTTAAAGATATAATTTAATACAAAATATTATATTATGTTTTTATAATGGCAATGCAAAAGTTAGAGCCCAAGTGGTTGGGCTCCTAACACCCAACCACTTGGGCTGGACGGTAGAGCGACAGTCTCGCTTTATGCAGGGCAGCGTTCAATCCACGGCCATCCAAGTTGTCGGGCACCATTCCTTTTTCCCATCCTATCCCAGATCTTTATCCTGACCATTTCCAAGTGCTATACAGTCGTAATGGATTGGTGCTTTCTTTTGATAGATCCCTTTCCCTATGTTTTTATAAGTGCTAGTCTACATTTTATAATATTCATTTGACTTTAATTAATGAGGTTCTTGTTTATAAGTAAAGGTCATCTGTATAAACAAATGGTTGAGATCCAGTGTTGTACAGCTCAGTGCATTTGTGTTTTAATTATTTCTGTACTTAAGTATTTAAGATAAGCTTTACATGTGCAGTGCCATATAATATAGTACTTATTGTTTTCCTATTTATATCTTTTAACTAACTTGTAGTATAACAGTGTTTAGCTTATCTTTAAAATTGAGGAAAAGATGAAAATGAAATGTGATACAAAAGATCCAAGACTAAATAACAAAAAATTATATATATTACAGAAGTGAACAGCATCTAACTGCATGCCTGGTGTCTCAGGACTTGGTTCCTTAGAGGGTATCGCATCATCTCTTATCAAATTTCCTCACTAAGCAGGCGAGTGCAATGACTCTGAGACATGGAATATTTCATGGTGAGAGTCTGTGGCCCCAAGATTG